CTGAAAAAACCTGCTAAAAGTTCGAGGGTTGGACCGTAGTCAACACGATGGAGAGAGTCTATGAAGCGGAATTTACACTCAGAGCGATCTATTGAAAATATTTATATCCTTCACCCATCTCTTCCCTTCGGAGTATACGATTTTAGCGGACTAAGTTTTTGACAATCTGGGAAAGAAAAAATAATTTAGAATATGCATAGATGGAATGCTACAAGAACTTTCATCTTTTGCCACTTCTGCACATGTTGAATCCACCTTCTTGATGTAGTCATTGATGATCTGAATGGCTAGCAGGTACAAATTGACGACTTCATCATTTAACCATTCCCCATCTTTGGCGGCGAGCATGACGTCTTTATTTTTCACCTTCCACCTCCCCTTGTAATCGACAATGGCGTATTCTTCATTCTCTTCAGTGTTGCCGGTAATCATTTCAAGATACTCCTTTTCTTCTATAGCCAGGTGTACTGTTGCTAAAGGAATCTGGAACAAAAGGTCATGCACTGCATACAAACACACATATAAACAACAATAGAGCGACTAAGACTTCACACAAAAACAAGTGATAGACTATATAGATATGACCTCATGTTGTTGGTTGTCTATCTGTTTCGTCATCAGTGCTGCTATCCATAACAGATAAACTGCAACCTGCGCGATGCAATTTCTTCCCTTTTGTGAGGCTTATTCCAACAACTTTAAACATCCTTAAGGCAGCTGGCTTCACAGATGAAAATGTCATGGGCGTACGACTTCTTCTCTCATTTTTTTGGCAATAACGGCAAAGTTGACAAAGCTTGCAAGCCACGACGAATTATATTCTTCTCTCTCTTCCTTTGCGAGTGTACATGTGTCGTTTTTCACAGTTCTTTTCGTCGCTCTGCATGATTCACAAAATAAAACGTAATGAGTTACAAGTCCGACTTTCCATTGTTGAAACTGACTCATGAATACCAATACAAAATATATGGCAATTGCACTAAGTCTTCATACAAAACAATTGCAGTATTTCTCTTTAGAAAACGCAAAGTTCCAAAGCTAGGTAAATAAACAATACATCTTAGGGATCGACACAATGGGAGATGAGTGCATGTGATGTACCCACTAATCCGCATATAGTATTAGATATTCCTCCTAAGATAAGAAAGTGCTCACCTCGATGGCTAACTCTCAGTTTTTATTCAACACGACCTTTTGTCACACCTTCCATATGCAATGGCGCAATAGGAGATTCCTCGATAGTCATCATGAGGTTAGCAGACTGTGGTGTTTGAGGTTGTTCAAGCGTTTGTTGAGGTTGTACAAGTACAGCTTGCTCCGGTGTACTTAGTACTATATGTCCTTCATCCTCTTCGATGCCCTATACATGGAGAGTTTCTTCCTCCTTTACTCCCTCAAAAGTATCATGGAAAGTGTCGCTTACTTCGGCTGGCATCGTCGACGACGGCATCTGCAATTCCGTGAGTGTACCAGTAATATCCACTTCTATAGCCTCGCAACTCACACCGCCTTTTCGTCCCGAAGTTTTGGCACTGTCGCCCACTAGTATCGTAGTCGCCGAAACTTGGTCAGCTGTACTCACGCCCTCGCAACTCACACCGCCTTTTCGTCCCGAAGTTTTGGCACTCGCACCGGCAATCGATCCCCATTGCTGTGTCGGGTTGGACTCAACCACGAGTTTCTCCGCTCGGTCAAGCTGGGAGCACTCCAATAGTGGACCCCTGTCGTGTTCGACTCGACCGTGTGACCCTTCGACAGGTGAAACAACGTCGATATGTCCCAAAGCCTTGCCACTTGTACCAGCGATTGATCCTGATCCCACTGTCGGGTTCGACTCGACAGTGAGTTTCTTCGCTTGGTCAAGCCACGAGCGCTCGAATGCTGGACGAGTGTCGTGTTCGACACGACTGTAAGACCCTTTGACAGGTGAAGCACTACCGATAGTTGTACTGCCCCCTCGTGGTCCCGAAGCCTTGCCAGTTGCACCGGCGATCGTTTCCGATCCCACAGTCGGGTTCGTCTCGACCGTGAGTTTCTTCACTTGGTCAAGCCAGGAACGCTCCAATGCGAGGCCACTGTCATGTTCGACTCGACCGTGGGACCCTTCGACAGTTGAACCACCACTCGATCCTGATCCCTTGCGCTCTGTTTTTTTAGGCCCCTGAGACCCTTCGACAGTTGAACCACTGCCGCTTCGTCCTGTAGGTTTTCCATGCCCACCGCCGCTTGGTGCTGATCCCTTGCCTTCTGTTGCTTGACGCCCCTTAGACTTTTCGGTTTGTTGCCGTTCCCCACGACTTGCGTCCTTGCCGCTTGCACCGTCATTTGGTTCGCGACCCTTGTCACTTGCACCGCTCCCCGATCGCAATCCTTTGCCATGCGCACCTCCGCTCGATCCGGATCCCTTGCCATGCTCACCACCGCCGCTTGATTTTTTCCTCTCCCCAAGATCTTCTCCGACATGCCAATAATATCCATAATTCGGACTGGTTTGTCTATCATAGAACTTTCCAGATACTCAAGCCACTGCGATGTTTTGAACTCTTGGAAAATTTCTTCAGTTCTTACATCTATTCTTGATTGAGAAACCTCTGGATTAAGTCACAGGAGTCGCTTGGCAATCTGATTTTTGGCATGTTTCAGAAAGTTCGATCCTTTCATACGTCTGTGGAGGCAAAACTGCCACTCCCCTTCTTCTTTTATAGCCATAACCCACCTCCCTCTTGCCAATGAAGGTTGGAAGTGTTGGGGGTGCCATATAATGTGATGACCCCATGTGGCATCATCCGTCACCGTATAATCGTCTCGGCACACTATAGGCCCCGGATGCAGTCGAATGTCTGCAGGGATTGTGTCTCTAATCTCATACTCCAAAGGCTCATCAGATGGAGGTTGTTGTGGAGTTCGAGAGCGTAGCAATTCCATAATAGTACTTGGGCTGTGTCCAAATGGTGCCAGAGTTGCCACCAACTCTGGGGAGAGCATTGCTAGAAGATTCAGATCCAGACTGTCTCCGGATGCCACCGTCATGGTATTGCCCGCCATCTGAGTCGGTGTAACAATAGAAGAAGTCGGCGGCTGAGTCATTAACTGATCCGTTGAAACCGCCATGCTCGAAGTTCCTCCAGAACCGGACGATGTGCCTGGAACACCCATTCTCTGCGAAGCCGGGTTACAAGTTTTTTGCCTCTCAGCTGCCAAAGCCGCTTGCAAAGTGACATCAACACTCTCTTCTTCTGAGTTGTCCGCATCAAAGTCCTCACCATCCACAAAACAAGTCGCATAACCTGCGATTGTAAACGCCCCGAATTGTTGGTCGAAGTACATTGTCTCCAAGCGGTCGAGAAATGAAACCTCCCTCTCCGATGGTGCTTTAGGATAACCCCTCAAGAGTTTCTCCACTTTTCTTCTTTTGAGGACATAAGTTCATTCCTATCTGTCTTCCGGCTTTGTTTCGAAGAGAAACTCCCAAATATTGACCATGTTTTGGCCAACCTTGTAGACGAGATTACGCCCTTCATCATGTCGAGGAGGCGGCTTAGTAAAGTTGGCGTAGTAATCTCGAGTTTTGACCATCTTGTCAATGAACTGAGTGAGGAACTTGAACTTCATACCCTCCCCTTCCAGCACAATGCAATGACGGTGACTCCTTAACAACTCCCAAACCAATCCCGCATGACCTTTCCCGAGGAAAACAATAGCCTCATCCGCAGGAAAAAAATGCTCCAATGTCTCCACCATCGCATTCGGCTCCCTTTTCATACCATCATAGACCACTTTCTCCGGTGGATCCATACCTGCCATTTTCCACTTTGATGGTAGAAAGTTCTTCTCCACGACATCAGTCAACATCTTCGACTTTCTTTCTCTCCACACAAGTGTCGATATGTCAGCCACCTGCTTGGCAGATGATGGACCTGCAGCTTGAATATCTTCAAACAAGGAAATAGTGTTGCGATTAAAATCCCCGTCGTTGGAGTACATGATGACCACTATTCTGTCTGTGTCCTCCAAAGGCAAGTTTGCAACCTTATATGTCACTTTCCCCTTTGTTTGTTATAGACGAGTCCATTTGAGAAGATCCATGTGGATGTCCCACATCGTGACTCGCCTCAAGAATATGAACTCGCAAGAGTGTGGAACGAAGCACAACAATATCCAATACTCGCCGCCAAGTTTGTCCATGAACTTCTTGAGTCCACCATACACTTGTTCAGTCCACGCACCCATCTGGGTCGGGCGACACAAATCCAGGACGACTGTGTGGCACGTCAGGTGTCTGACGGCTCTAAACATCTCCTTGCAATCCATCTCGTCTGAAACATCGCTCGGTTCCCACTGGAACGACACGAATACAGATGTCACGTCCTGTTTCTGGAAATATATATACCTCGCTTGTCCCGACAAACGAATGCTATGCGAACCCCCAGTTTCATATCTACGCAACAACTTGTTGACAAATTGAATGAACTTTTCGGGACATTTGTTTGCAAGCGATTTTGTTTTCTTGAAGCCCTCCTCTCCTTTCTCATCCTCGCCTCCAAGTGTAGCCGGAAATGACCGCACCCAACTCATTTCTTTGAAATGTCATCGCTGGTCGATCCACCTCTCCGATGTCAATCCTTGATCATAATACTTGGCGAACAAATCAGAAAGGTTGTCGAAGAATGGTTCCTTCCACTCTGACGGTTTCTTGTGAGGGTCAGAAATGAAGACGAAGCAGTGAAACGTTATCAACATTGCTCTTTCCTGCTTCACCATTTCCACGTATGTCTCCATCGATGTTTCCCAGCAGTGTGAGCAACGTTACTTAGCCTTGGAGCCAATATGACACTTCCCGCGAGAATGTCTTGCAACAACTGAAGCCTCTCACGCCTCCCCAACGTAGACATAGCCTTCCATGATCTGACATCCGGATCACGCACAGCCACGAGGTAACCAGGTCCTCTAGTACCCTGAATCCAGTGCACTGGAACCCTGACTCCATTTTCCAACTCGAATCCGGGGCTAGGTCTCGATGTTTTCCCCGATTCACCTTATTTGGTGGCAGGCTTCACACCATTTCTCCCCGACAACTGTCCATTCTCCCAAGGAGAATACACTTGTTGCACCTTGTCGAACACATCGTCCGTCGCCCTTGTCAATACCATGTAAGGCCCGAGGAAGTCGGACCACTCCTTGCTCCAAGCCTGAAGTGAAAGAGTAACCAAATGATCACTCCCGGTCGCTCGCAGAGCCATCGCTGCAAACTCTCTGTAATCCTTATTTTTGACGTCTGCAGCAGATCCGCTTATAGCTTTTGGACGACCGACTGCTTGCCACAACTTTCGTACGTTCTTAATGATAGCAATCTGGTGTGGAGGAGTATTCCATTTGTCCTTCGCATTTTGGAAAGTGCTCAAGGTGCAGTAATTCTCCATGCTCCTATCCGGATAGTAAAGAGACCTTGCAGTCCAGAAATCCAAACGGAGCTCACGGGCGATGTCAGGGCGTTCTTGAGAACATTTCCTCACCGCCGCAACATTGTGTTGACCACTGAGAGGATACCAGTAGTACTTGCGCACGGATTGGAGATCGAATTCGTCAGGCGTTACTCTTCTCGCCCTCACATTCGTGCCGGAAGCGTCAGTATGCATTGTATCATATAGCCCAATCAACAAAAGGACAGGCTTCTCGTACAATGCACATACATTCACCCCGGCTGCCCCGGTCGTTCTCTCTCTGATAGCTGCCTCACCCGACTCAATCATTGTTTTGTAAAGGTCATCAATAAACTTTTGATCGAGGAAGCGTTGATTATATATGAATTCCTCGTCAGGGATATCCAGAATCCTGTCCAACTTGACAGTAATGAACTGCATTTCCGGTCTCTGGTTACCATTCTCGTCAAACTCAAGGAAGAAGCCTTTGCTCAGATGACCAGAAGAATTCCCAGGCGGCAGAATCTGCAAACCGGGCGGTCTGGTGACTGTCTTGCCCATAGCGTCTTCATCCGACTGTGACTGGTCCAGTGGAAAAACGGAAGTTTTTTCCATCACACTTCCCTTCGCTGCTTTTTTCCTTGGCTGCCGTTTTTTCTTCATGGCCTCCTCAGCCTCCCGGGTACGTTGGACGACCTCCTCAACTGCCAGCATTTTCAACTTGTGTTTGCCTTCCTCTTGCTTGGCTCCCCCTTCCTGCTTGGTTTTCTTACAGTCCAAAGTACTTCTCCTCTCTTGCCTGATCTTCCTTTTCTTCTCAGCTAGTCGGACTGCATCGGCATGCACCGGCTCGACCCCAACTTCACGGTGCATTTCCCCGCGCCCTGGATCCGCTTCCCAATGCCCATGACCCGACGCGAGCAGCTGCGTTCGTTTGGAACCCCAATGCACATCTGCATACCCTCCCTCGCCGGTCGTTTCCTCTTCTTGCCCTTCGTCCTCATACTCAACCCCTAGACGACCCTCCAATTCGCCCGGCCCACCCCTCTCGCTGATTGTGTGCTCACTCTCTATTTCCTCTTCTCCGCCACCCTCCTCATATTCTTCACGTTCTTCATCGCGCTCTCAATCTTCCTCGTTGTTCTTCTCGTCGTCATCTCCAAAATAATGCGACCCAGCAGGAATGACCAACTCATAGCGTGGCGGGCGGACCAAGGAAACGGGTTCCTTGGTTGATGTTGGTCTACGCTTCACAGGGGCTGACGGCACGATTTGCCCGCGACACGGACCTTTCTCCCCGATCTGCCCTGATTTCGGAACTCGTGTTGCAGCAACCGTAGTCCAAAGCGATGGCGGTGGGCGGGCACCTATAATGATTGGTTTCGACGACGGAGCCGCCTCTAAAGACGACGAAAGCACGCTTTTCAGTTCAGATATGCGGTCGGAAGCATGCACCACCGGCTCATGCCCTGCGACCACATTTTTGTCGAAGAATGTGAAAACCGCTCGAAGGTCCGGCAACGTCAATTTCTCCGTCCCGGGCGGATTGAAAATGTCATAAAGCTTCTTGCCGTACCCAGCATGTTTGGCCCAACGAAGAGCAACGCGTTTGACATTCGCCATCCGCTCACCTCTAGCATTAAGGACCATCGTGAACTCCAACATGGCGAACTGTGAATTTCCTCCACTCCACTTCACCACACCGCCAATCGGAACAATGTTATCTTTGATCACCACGTACAAAACCAGCCCACCCGAGGGTTCCCCGATTCCACCCACCCAGTCCAACATCCAGCACCTGTCTTTGTGGTCGACGACAGGAACCTCGTCTCCCACACCTGCAACGGACGTCTCACCAGACCTTCTACGCCTGGACACAACGTCCATCGTAGATTTCCCCTGCCGACCAGTAGCCTCCTCTTCTCGACTCGTAGCCCCACCAGTCATCAACACAGCCAAATCCGGTCCCGAACCTCAAACATGGGCGGAAGGAGTGCCTGTAGAAGGTGCACCCCGCAACACCGGGGTTCGGTGGCCCTAAGACCCCGGTGTGTCGCCAACCCCCACGCCAGCTGTTGGTGTCCCCTTCGGTTTTTTCGGAGACTGCTCCATGCTCCCGGGACCAGTAATAGTATGTCGTTTGTTTGGCCTTCCCTCGCGATCTATGTCGAGCAGCTAGTCGCAATTGAAGAAAACGCACAAGCGAGAAAGGAGTCATTGCTTTGCCGACGTGCAAACACCACAACACTCGAGAACAAGAATAGACAGGAACACAGCAGCACGCCAGCTCGTCGTCGTTTCACTGTCGTGTCGAACTCGACGGCCGTGCCACGACGTCCTCCAGTGCCGTCGAATTCGACACGATAGCGACATTGCGGTGTCGTCGTGTCGAACCTGACGACCGACCAACTCGTCGTTGTGCTCGACGTCGAGCTCGGTACTGCGCGGGCTGTCCAACCGTCGTGTTGGACACGACAGCTACACTGTTGTCTACCGTGCGACAGTCGACCAAGCGCCCCTTCATGCACCGTCTGGTCGCCAGACCACAGTGTCCATGTCGTGTTCGACACGATGGTCGCCAAACGGTGCCTGAAGGGGAGCTGACCGTCGTGTTCGACACGACAGCGACATTGTCGTCTGCCGTTCGACGGTCGACCAAGTGCCCCTTCAGGCACCGTCTGGGGACCATCGTGTCGAACACGACAGTGACACTGTGGTCCGCCGTGCCCGCCAGCTCGTCGTCGTTTCACTGTCGTGCGACGACGTCCTCTAGTACCGTCGAATTCGACACGATAGCGACATTGCGGTGTCGTCGTGTCACGGTCTTGTCGAACCAGACGGCCGACCAACTCGTCGTCGTGCTCGACGTCGAGCTCGATACTGCGCGGGATGTCCAACCGTCGTGTTGGACACGACAGCTACACTGTTGATTGTCGTGCGGCAGTCGACCAAGCACCCCTTCATGCACCGTCTGGTCACCAGACCACAGTGTCCATGTCGTGTTTGACACGATGGTCGTCAAACGGTGCCTTAAGGGGAGCTGACCGTCGTGTTCGACACGACAGCGACACCGTCGCCTGCCGTTCGATAGTCGGCCAAGTGCCCCTTCGGGCACCGTCTGGCGACCATCGTGTCGAACACGACAGCGACACTGTGGTGTGCTGTGCAACATTTGTCGTGTTCGACACAACGGTCGGTGGACGGTGCCTAAAGGGGCACTTGATCACGAGAACACAAGACAACAGATCGCAGGCACTGCTTAATACGGAGAAATATTAACTGTTGAATGCTTGTGCACGCAAAACATCAGAACAACGAGTTTTTTTTTTAGAAAGGAAACACAACATGAGAACAACAATTAAACACTCGGGCTGGCAGCGATGTGTCGGTGTCCAAAGCCAAACCGAAAACACGTGTCATCATTCCCGGGTTTCAATGAATTGAAAAACAATATGAGAACAACAACGTCACACGTATGTACTTTTGGTCACTGAACACATGATGAGAACAACTAATAGATACCTCGTATTGTTATCGAAATAACACATTGAGAACAGCTATCGCAATGCGAATTCCACGAGGCTATCTATCGAGTACGGAGAACAATCTCGCCTTTGCGGCCATTCAACACGCTAAGTGGCGATCCGAAGGTCAGCTGCTGCGCCGTCTCAGCAAACACCGAAATGTATGTCATTAGCACGAATCTGGAGTTCCCGACGAGAGAAGCGCCTATAGCATCCCGAATTGAAACGACTTTAGCCTCGACCTTGCGCCATGCACCAACGTCCTCCACCTGGCCACCCAACACGATATCCAATCTCCCATCTACCCTTCTTTGAACTAAACAGATATCCCTCCCGGACATAGACAACTCGTTCTTGGACACATACACGACAACATCGGTGAAGTTTCTTGCCCCGCTCGAAACGGCAATACAGAGGACCTTACAGAAGATAAAGTATGCCAGACGCAATCTCACACAACAATACGAAACTGCTCTTGGCGACAGACCGGGAGATCGCAACGGACAATGATCGAGGAACTGAGAATGTCGAGCACAATCGAGTAACTCCTGTTTCATAACACGGCACCAGGTGCGAGGCGAGGTTGTCACGTATTCGTAGTCCAAAACCCCCACAACACGGTTTATTTTTAGCTTTTTACACAGTAGAGGCAAGCGCACAGGGCGCATCACATCGAATGGCACAGGAATGCATTTGCCGAATTCGGACATATTAGCGAACTCATAATCGCACGCCCACGGACATCTCTCTGTCATGTTCACCCACTCGTGCTCCTCCCACGAGTCCAAATGTTTGTCGCCAAACGGGAGGATTCACATCCAAGGGTCGCATTCGAAGTTTTCTGGACAAGCGCCTTCGTAGGTTACGCTGCCCTGACATTGCCGGACGTACTGCGCGCAAGGTGGGAAAGGGTGGGCCTTGCGTGCACACCAAAGTGTTGGGGTCATATGAGAGATCTCCGTAGCAACAGTGAAGAGAAGACGCCCTGCACGGCACAAGTGCAATGGTCAACAGCACCATAGAACAACCAACAGCAACATAGAACTATTCACCCCCCTCCACCTAACAATGGAAACAAACCAGGCCGCACGACAGCACACTGCAAGAATCTATGTGCACATTTCACGCCCATAATTCCACGCACACAACCCATGCACGATTCGATGAACGATTCGATGACATTGCACCGCGCACAATCTTGTTCGACTCGACTACAGGGAAGGATCGTGTTCGACTCGACGACAGGGCACCATCTAGACGATCATGACGATCGTCTTCGACTCAGTGTATCGTGTTCGACTCGACTATCGTGTTCGACTCGACGATCGTGTTCGACTCGACGATTGTGTTTGACTCGACGATCGTGTCCGACTCGACGATCGTTGTTAGACTCGACTATCGTGTTCGACTCGACGATCGGGCACTGTAGTGTTCGACTTGACGATCGGGCAGTGTCGTGTTCGACTCAACTATCGTGTTCGACTCGACGACCGGGCAGTATCGTGTTCGACTCGACGATCGTGTTCGACTCGACGATAGTGTTCGACTCGACAATCTGGCACTGTCATGTTCGACTCGACGATCGGGCAGTGACGTGTTCGACTCGGCTATCGTGTTCGACTCGACGATCGGGCAGTATTGTGTTCGACTCGACGATCGTGTTCGACTCGACGACCAGGCACGATAGTGTTCGGCTCGACAAGCGTGTTCGACTCAACTGTCGTGTTCGACTCAACTGTCGTGTTCGACTCGACAATCAGACATCGGGCGAGATCGTGTTCGACTCGATTATCGGGCACTTTCATGTTCGACTCGACGATCGGGCACAATCGTGTTCGACACGACGATCGGACACGATTGTGTTGGACTCGACGATCGAGCGCGATTGTGTTGGACTCAACGATCGGGCGCGATCGTGTTCGACTCGACGATCGGGCACGATCGTGTTCGACACGACGATCGTGTCATGTCCGATCGTCGTGTCGAACACGATCGTGCCCGATCGTCGAGTCGAACACGACAGTGCTCGATAATCGACGATCGTGTTCGACTCGACGATCGGGCGTGATCGTGTTCGACTCGACGAACGGAAGTGCCACGTGGCGTTACGTGCTTGCATCTGGGCTGCGTGGTTGTGTCCTCACCGTCCGATCCTTCAAACTCGGGGTGCTCCGCTGTGGTTGTGCGTCGCGATCTTGGGCCGTATGCTCGCTCCGTCATCTCGTTGAACACGCCTCTCGACAGCGCTGTGGGCCGCCGTTGCGTCGAGCAGGTGATCTGCTATGCACGGACCGAATCCCTGCGCTCCGTTGCCACGCTGAACACGAGCCTCCACTGCGCTGCGCTACTTCTCCGTTGTCGAACTGAAACGAAAATGGGAACTGGTGACCCTCCCTCATATATATAGTTTTTCGGGAGGGCCCTTCGCGAGCACCTGCTAGCCGTCCGATCCGGGGATACTTACGGTCGGGATGATCCAATGGGGAGTGGTGGGCCTGCCTCATATATGTTGTTTTTCGGGTGGGCCCTCCGCTCGCGCCTGCTGGCTGTCCGAGTCGGGAATACGGACGGTCGGGACGATCCAATGACTGCAGTCGGCCACGATCGTTTTCCCCCCTCGGCCAGAGTGGAGGTGCGGGGATGACGTTCAGCTGCTGAGCAGAAATACGATTCGAGCACATGAGTACCCGCGACATTGTCTCATTGTTCGCGTTCTGGGAGAATAAGCGCAGAGGTTCGCCAACGTCGACACGACAACTGCCCCGCTCTCCAGGTTAGTGCCGCTTCAGCCAACACGGCGCCCCCCCCGCGAGACAAAGAGTAAAGCCTCCGTGGACGGCCGTGTTTAGTGTTGGTTTATCGGTGACGTCAACAAGTTTTCTCGAACACTTCCACCGCACTAGTCGTCGTGTTGAACACGATGGTCGACACGGTCGTCGTCGTGTCGCACACTATGGTCGTCGTGTCGAACACGATCGTCGTCGTGTCCGACACGCTGGTCTCGTGTCAAACAAGATCGTCGTCGAGTCCGACACCGTCGTCGTCGTGTCGAACACGACGGTCGTCGTGTCGAACACGATCCTTGTTGTGTCGAACACGATTGTCGCCGTATCGAACACGATCGTCGTCGGGTCGAACACGGTCGTCGTCGTGTCGAACACGATCCTTGTTGTGTCGAACACGATTGTCGCCGTATCAAACACGATCGTCGTCGGGTCGAACACGACCGTCGTCGTGTCGAACACACTCGTCCTCGTTTCCAGCTCGTTGAACACGATCGTCGCCATGTCGTGCACGGTCGTCGTCGTGACCGACGTCGTGTTGAACACGGCCGTCGTCGTCTCGAACACGGCCGTCGTCGTGTCGAACACGACGCCATCGTATCGAGCACGGACGTCTTCGTGTCCGACATGATCGTCGACGATGGTCGTCGTGTCCGACACGATGGTCGTCGGGTCGGCCGGGATGGTCGTCGGGTCGGACACGGTGGCCGTCGTGACGAGCACGGTGGTCGTCATGTCCGCCACGGTCGAACGCGATTTTGGTCGTGTCGAACGCCATCATATTCGTGTCGAACACCCTGCTCTTTTTCGCCATGACCCCCACCTTCGTTTCGACTTGCACAGAGTTTAGTGCGAGTTGCGCCAGCAGAACATAGTGCCCGGGTGACTGTCTTGTGTCTCTTGTGGCACTGAGTGCTTGTTGCGAGATTGCGATAATATACAATGGAGCTCCTGTCGTGTTGAGCGCGACATTGGTGTTGCCGCAGTCGTTTACCTTCTCAGCTTGGCTTTCTGGAAACCCATCGTGCGCTGTAGAACGAACTCTGCGCGAATTTTGCTTCGAATCCTCGGAGTCTGGTACCCGGGAATCAAAACGGGGGACCCTTCCGTGTTGGGCGAGGCGGTCGCGTTGCCACGATGGTTTTCCTGCTCACTCGTGTCAGTTTTCCTGCCCGCTCTACGTGGGTG